ATATGGTATCTCTTGAAATGGTTGAACATTAACCATTTCCTTTTGGTACAATGACTCTGTGTATTCCTTCCATCTTTTCTTGATATATATATATGTGTATATATATGGAGCTCAACAGCTGCTCCTCAGAAACTCTATACAGGGTGGCTTTGAGCTGGGAAACTGACTCAACAGCAGCAACATATACACATCATGTGACCGCCTACAGGGGCCTTGGTGAATGACAAGCTGATTCAAGGAACAACGCACAGATCTCCGACTCCTTTTTGGAGAAGGACACTGGACAGGCCCCCATGGATAGTGCTGGGTTTCCCAGGGGTGACAGAGGTGGCTGTGAGTCCAGCCCAGTACCTGGGAGTGGGTGACCCACATAGCGATCACTGTCCTTTCTCCCAGATCTTCTCATGGCCCAAAGCACCCAGTTCTTTGGGGCTATGCATAGCCCTGAGCCACATATTAGGTTCCAGATACCATCCTGTTATCTCAACTCAGTGCCTGGGAAGCTGACTCGGGCAAGTTTCTGGGGGTCTCTGGGTTGGTGGGTGAAAGTTCTAGGCCTGCTGTTGCCCTGTGACTGTGAGGCCATCAGCTGGTGTGTTACTGAGCCCCTGGCCAGAGGCAGTCCTCCTCACGACACTCTCTGACTCTTGCTTGGTAGTGGCGATGCCTTCATCCCCAATTCCAGAAACTACTTATCACAGTGCCAGAGTCTGCTGAGCAAAATCACGTCCATCAACCCACAGACGGAGATCGATGGGCTCCGGAACATCTGGATCATTAAGCCTGCTGCGAAATCACGTGGCCGAGGTAAGGTCCAAACGTGGGTTGTCTGTTCCTTCGCTTGTTCATGCTGTCAACAAAGACTTCAGAACACCGCTGCTCGCTGGCCTCCATTGTAGACCCAGCAGTGTCTGTAGCCACTTGTCACCATGTGGAGAACAGAGAGCTGGCGGGATGGAACAGTATTGAATGTCACGTTCCACATGGGGCGGGGCCCAGGTGGGGCATCTGAGCACTTCGGGGGTTTCAGGATTACGTCTTGGAGGAAGTGTCTGAACTGAACTTGATCTTCACAGCTGATGCTCCAAACACAGTGCTGGCTTCAACTTGGTTAATATTTCACTGTTGCTGTTAGATGCCATTGAGTGGGTTCTAACTCATACTGACCCTACTTCCAACAGAACCAAGCACCGCCTGCCTGCCCCTGAGTCGTCTCCACAACATTGCCACCATGTCAGTCCACCTTAAGTCGGCCTCCTTTTTGCTGACCCTCCACTTTAACAGCCATGATGTCCTTCTCCAGGGACTGATCCGCCCTGACAACATGCTCAAAGTATGTGAGACAAAGGCTCACCATCCTGGCTGCCAAGGAGCATTCTGGCTGTACTTCTTCCTGGACAGATTTGTTTGTTTTTCTGGCACCCATGGGGTATTCGGTATTCTTCACCAACATCGTAACTCAAGTGTACTGGTACTTTACTGTCTTCCTTATTGATTGCATTGTCCAGGGTTCACATGCCTATGAGGCAACTGAAAATACCAGGGCTTGGGTCAGGCGCACCTTAGTTCTCAAACTCACATCTTTGCTCTTTAACACCTGAAAGGGGTCTTTTGAGCAGATGTGCTTAATGAAACACATCTTTTGATTTCTTGACTGCTGCTTCCATGGATGTTGATCGTGGAGCTAAATGAATGAGATCCTTGACAGCTTTAGTCTTTGCTCCATTTATCATGAGTCTACTTTCTGGTCCAGTCAGGAGGAGTTTGATTTTCTTAATGTTGAGGTGTAACCAATAGTCAAGATTGCAGTCTTTCATCTTCACCAGTGAGCGCTTCAAGTCCTCTTTGCTTTCAGCAAGCAAGATTGTGGCATCTGCATATTGCAAGGTGTTAATGAGTATTTCTCCAATCTTGATGCCATATTCTTCTTCATCTAGTCCAACATCTCGGATTATTTGCTGAGCACGCAGGCTAAATACGGTAAACACACACACCTTTCTTGACTTTAAACTACTCGGTATCCCCTTGTTCTAGTCAAATGATAGCCTCCAGGTCTGTGTACAAGTTCCTCATGAAGATAACAAGGGTTCTGGAATTCCTACTTTTCTCAATGTTATCTATAATTTGTTGTAATCCATGTAGTCAAATGCCTTTGCACAGTCAATAAAACACAAGTAAATTTCAGGTATTTGCTTTCAGTCAAGAATATTTCATTTAGATTTTCATCTGTGGTGTTTGCTATTGTCATTAGCTGCTACCAAGTCAGCTTCTGATTCATAGCAACTCCATGCACAATGGAACAAAACACAACACTGCCCGGTCCATGCTATCCTCACGGTCAGTTGCACATTGGACCATTGTGATCCATAGAGTTTTCACACCCCATGCACAGTGGAACTAAACACTGCCCAGCCCTGCTCTATCCTCACGGTCAGTTGTAGATTGGACCATTGTGATCCATAGAATTTTCTCTGACTTTTGGAAGTAGATCGTCAAGCTGTTTGTCCACATCTGTCTTAGTCTGGAACCATCACTGAAGCCAGCTCAGCATCACAGGAGAGCACAAGCCCCACTGACAGGCCTATGGGTGTGGCTGCCTAGGAGGTGCATGGCCAGGAATCGAATCCTGGTCTCCCACATGGGAGGTGAGAGTTCTATCACCCAACCACCATGCTTCCTTCCATCTATAGCCATTTATTCCATGCATAGCCATCTATATAGACCAGCGCAACTGGTCCATAGCTGCATTATTTTATTTCCTTGCTCAGTCTTGGCAACAGGTCTTAAGTAGGCTCAAAAATGGAGAGAGGACCTGCATCTCCAATGGTACTAACGCTGGTCCCTCAGCTCTGCAAAGCTCCCCTGCCCCCAGCAGACTCAGAGGCAGGGCCTCAGCACCTTCTCCATTCTGCCTGCTGTGATTGGTCTCTTCAGCTTTCCTCCCCATAGTCGTGAATTCTATGTATGATTGATTGATTTATTTTTATTTCTGATGGTCAATAGTGTGTTCAATCTCCTTTATAGAAACAGAATATCACGGTGGCTTTGTGATTCTATTCATCTTTCCAAAGAACCTGCTTCTGGTTGCATTCTTCAGTTTTCCTGTGAGGATAATGCACACACACCCCCTACACCATACCACCACCACCCCTGTTTAGCTCTGACTTAGATGGTGGGATGAAATCTTCCTTTTGCCACAATAAAAGCTTTAATGCCAAAATGTACCCAATATCACTAAATAATTTGCATAGAAATTGTTAAATGGGAACCTGATTTGTTGTGTAAACTTTCACCTTCAACACAATAAAGTAATATTATTAAAAAGTTTAAGGCCACGAACATTCCTCTAATTATAGCTGTAGCTGCATCCTAGTCTTCAGTTTACATGCTGTTCTCATTTTCCTAATTTCCTAACTAGACTTTACTTTTAGTTGGACTGTCCTGTTTACCCCTTGAGCTATTTTGAAATTTTGTTTCTGTTAGTTTTTAATTCACAAGTGGTTCATTTTAAGGGACTTGAAAATCTTTATTAATTTGTAAATTGACTCCATCTGTTTAAAGAGACAGTGGAAAAGTTCCATACCATCAGCCCAAACAAGGCCAGGGCAGACTGTGGAACAGACCATCAATTGATCATATGCAAGTTTAGACTGAAGCTGAAGAAAATGAAAACAAGTCCACAAAAGCCAGAACATGTCCTTGAACATGTTGTCAGTTGTTGCTGAGTCGGTTCTGACCCGTTGTGACAATATGTACAACAGAACAAATCACAATTGTCGCTGTGCTTGAGCCCATTGCTGCTGCCACTGGGCCAGTCTCACTGGGGGTCTCCTTTTTCTCTGTCCCTCAACTTTACCAAGCATGCTGTCCAGCTCCAGGATCTGGTCCTTCCTGAGAATATGTCCACAGTATGAGTGATGAAGTCTGGCCATATTGGCTTCCAACACAGATTGGTTTGTTCTGAAGGTTTGTCATTTGGACTATCATAAACTCCACACCCCTGCATCTCTCCTTTCCTGGTCGGAGACCAGTGCGCCTGCAAACCCACTCTGGGGCAGCCGGAGGGCTCAGGTATACTCATCGTGCTAATGAAAAGACTCTCTGGCCACCTTGGAGGCAGGACAGCTCTGGCTAAGACAGTGGTCTCCCCCTCAGCTTCTGCTAGAATCCCCTGGGCTGCAGCCCAGACCAATGAAACTACCGTCTCTGGAGCTGGAATCCAGGCATCAGGATTTCTTTTTAAAGCTGTTCAGATGAGTGCAAGATGCAGCCAAGTTTAAGAACTAGGAAAGGAATACTTAGATGAGACTCTGGAGAGTTTCTTTCCTAAACCCTTCCTCCCTTGCTATTTGCTAAAAACAGTATGTTCACTGTTTAAAGTCCAATCAGACCATCTTTGCTTTTAAAATCTGGCTTTGCTGCCCTTGTGTGGCCTAGGGCAGGTTTTACTTCACCTCTCTGAAACTATATATAATGGAGACAATCAAAGTACTTACCCCCAAGTATCCTTGTTAGGATTAAATACCACATATAAATGCTTTGTGGCGCTGTGGGTTAATGCGCCAGACTGCAAGGCTGTTTGAACTGCAAGGTTGGCGGTTCAAGCTCACCAGCGTCTCCTTGAAAACCCTATACAGGGTCGCCATGGGTCGGAACCGACTCGACAGCACTTAACAACAACAACGACGACATAAAACAAACCAAATGCCCCACCCCCTCAAAAAGAAAACCTTTGCCATTGAGTCAATTTTGACTCGTGGTGAATACCAGTGTTATAGACCTGTGCTCCATGGGGTTCCAAGGCTGGAACCTTTCAGAAGCAGATCACCAGGTCTTTCTTTGGAGGCACCTGAGTGGGTCCAAACCACTAACCATTCAAGTAGTAATGGAGAGCTTGAAGAGTTTGCACTACCTAGGGACTCCTACCTAGCATTGCCAAAGAAAAGTCTTTTGCCGTCTAGTCAATTCTGACTCATTTAAGGCCAAATTCTGTAGGACAAAGTAGAACTGCTCCACGTGGTTTCCAAGGGCTTGAGCTTTATGGATGCAGACTGCCACCTGTTTCTTCCTGGGGGGTTCAAACAGCTAGTAATGAAATGCTTTAGCTACTGTAGCACCAGGGCTTTATATTAAAAAAAAAAAAAAATTATTTGTTCTTAAAAGTCCATGCTACTTTTAATATTCTCCTCCAACACCATCACTTAAATGTGCCAATTCTTCTGTGGCCTTCCTTATTCACTGTCCAGCTTTCACATGCATATGAGGTTATAGGAAATACCATGACTTGGGTCAGACACACCTTAGTCCTCAAACTGACATCTTTGCTCTTCAACACTTTACAAAGGTCCTGTGCAGCAGTACGTCATTTGCTTTCTTGACTGCTGCTTCCATGAGTGTTGATGGTGGATCCCAGCGAAGTCCTTGACAACGTCAATCTTTTCTTTACAGTGAAGTACAACCCATACAGAAGGCTGTAGTATTTAATCCCTGTCAGTAAGTATTTTAAGTCCTCTTCACTTTCAGCAAGCAAGGGAGTGTCATCTGCATATGGCAAGTTGTTAATGAGTCTTCCTCTGATGCTGATGCCTCGTTCTTCTTCATGTAATCTAGCCTTGGTCCTTGCCTTCAATGCACACTGGACTTCTTCCTTCAGTACCATTGGCTCAATCATTTGCTATCTCTTGAAATGTTTGAACACTGACCATTTCTTTTTGGTACAGTGACTCTGTGTATCCCTTCCATCTTCTTTTGATACTTCCTACATCATTCAATATTTTTCCCAAAGAATTCTTCAATATGGCAACCTG